CAGATTGTAAGTTGAGTGTAGCAAGAAGAAATCAGGCGTTCAACAGGATGAGACGAGTAAAGATTGGAAATAGTGTTGCTGTGAATAATTTTGTAAAAGAACGTAATGTGATTCGCAATTTATGTAGAGCTAAGAAAAAGCGTTTTTTTCAGAAGATCAATATGAATTTGCCGTCTGCTGATAGTAAACATTTCTTGCGATTCATTAATTTCTTTGTTAAGATTAAATACAGGGATCTTCCAGATCTTGATTGGGTAACTTTTTTTTCAAAGAAAGTTTATTCTAGTAAATATTTACCAGATATGTCTGTATATAACTGGTGTGTGAATTGTCAGGATGATATGTTGGATACGGAGATAACAGAACAGGAAGTGAAAAAGGTTTTAGCTACTATAAAACATGGTACTGCTCAAGTTATTTATGGGATACCGGTGGAATTATATAAGAATTTTCCCGATCTGATTAGATATATGGTAGGTATGTTTAATGATGTGTATCAATCAGGAATGATTCCTTTAGACTGGCGGATATGTAAGATTATTCCTATAGTTAAAAAGGGTCTTAGAGATTTGTCTGATAATTATAGAGCAATTTCGTTACTACCGACAATTTCTAAAGTCTTTTGTAAAATTTTATGTACGCGTTTGGTATTTTGGTTGAATAAGTTTGAAATATTTTCAGATTTCTAGGAAGGTTTTCGGTGTGGATTTTCGACATTGGATAATATTTTTGTTTTATATGCCTTAATACAGAAGTCTTTAAACAAAAAACGATGTAAACTTTACGCCTTTTTCGATGATTTGACCTCGGCATTTGATTCGTTGGATAGAGATATTTTTGGAGTCAACTTCTGGAGATTGGGTTGAGCTATAAATTTGTAAAGTTTTTGATTCAGTTGTATACTAATACAGAGGAGAGCGTGTCTACTAAGGAGGGTACGACTGATCTGTTTTTTTTAAGTTAAAAGGTGTGAAACAGGGTTGTGTATTGAGCGCAATATTGTTCAACATATATCTATATCGACTCGTAAGTAAACTGAATGACTAATTTGGTGGGTATTGATCTTTTGGGAATGGATGTGAAAATCTTGACTTATGCAGATGATTTGGTTGTTATGGCAGATTCGCCTATAGNTGAGTTCGCTTTCTTTTTAGTCTACTTGTCCTATCTCAGTTTAATTAAACAGTGTCTTGGAGCCATAAAACTAATAATATTAATTAAAGAATCGAACAAGAAAAAGTTAAAAATGTTACGATACTAGATTTTGTTTTAAACACTTTTATATACAGGTTAAAAAAATATTACTAAACTATTTCATAATACTATACTATATTTTTGTACATAATTATACAGTATTATATAATGGTAAATAAACAACAGTAAGCTATTTATATTTTGCGTTAAACATTCTTTCTTAATTTCCTAACAAATTACTAGTAATACAAAAATTATTTTTTTTATCTACTAGTTCCTCAAAAGAAAAGATTGCGAATATAGTAGTTATTGAAGAGTTCGCATCACATAAATAGCTTATCTAAGTGGAATTTTCTGAATTACTTTAACGTGTCTAAATTCTAAATAGCAATAAATTTCCATACAGTGTTCTTTTCGGAGGGAGTCCTTCTTGGTAGATCGCCCGAGTGCTGAATTGCCTTCTAATAAATCCAATGCAGTCTAATCTAATATAAAACATTTCTTTTCTTACTAAATATATTATTTATGGTGCATAACAGTTCGAAATATCATTTCCATATTATTTCTCATTACAGCAATGAAATATTATAGAAAAACAGTTCTACAATAAAATGTTCNTTTTCGACATTGGATAATATTTTTGTTTTATATGCCTTAATACAGAAGTCTTTAAACAAAAAACGATGTAAACTTTACGCCTTTTTCGATGATTTGACCTCGGCATTTGATTCGTTGGATAGAGATATTTTTGGAGTCAACTTCTGGAGATTGGGTTGAGCTATAAATTTGTAAAGTTTTTGATTCAGTTGTATACTAATACAGAGGAGAGCGTGTCTACTAAGGAGGGTACGACTGATCTGTTTTTTTTAAGTTAAAAGGTGTGAAACAGGGTTGTGTATTGAGCGCAATATTGTTCAACATATATCTATATCGACTCGTAAGTAAACTGAATGACTAATTTGGTGGGTATTGATCTTTTGGGAATGGATGTGAAAATCTTGACTTATGCAGATGATTTGGTTGTTATGGCAGATTCGCCTATAGGTCTAAATAGAATTATTGACTTTTTAGGTTACACACTACAGGAGTTAAAACTTTCTGTTAATATTGACAAATCTAAAATAATAATATTTCAAAATGGAGGAAAACCTTCTAATAATGAGAATTGGTTTTTATAAAATTGCAAAATAGAAATAGTTGACAAGTATAAGTATCTGGGTATAGTTTTCCAGTCTAATGGGCGTTTTTTAAAACATTTAAACTATATTTGTTGTAGTCAAAACTCGTTTTCAGTTACAACGCGTTTTAACTAGTTGAAACTAGTTTTAACTCAAATTCATGTTTGACTAGCAGTAAATTCTAGTTTTAACTAGACAAAACGGGTTTTGTCTAGTTAATTTACTGCTGTACATGTTGTACTTTTAGATAAAACTAGTTTTAACTTTTAACGTTAGTTAACACTAATTTTAGTTACATAAATATGTTTGGGGGAAATAAATAAAGTTATGTATAGTGATTCAGGGGAAGATGCCTAACATTTTGCTTATAAAGAAATTTATAGCAATAATTTGGGTTTTGAAGCTCTCTAATGAAAATATCATATTCTGGAGAATGTTATTCAAATAAAACTTTGCAGTTTATTAAAAAAAGTTGTATATTGTGTTTGCAATGACGACTTTTTCACTGTCTGGCATTTTAGGCCTCTCCCCCAAGTATCCGAGTGAAATGCCAAATGCCACTAGGGTAAGATAACAAATATAATTGCATAAAATTAATTTTTGAATTTGTTAACCAAATTTAATTTATTGCATATGTAATACAAAATACTTCATAGTAAGTATAACAGTACAGTATAAGTATTGTTAAGTTTCCACCCGTTCTAACGTGCTCTATAGCTTGCTGAAAGCTTTATTCAGTCCAAAAACCTTTTTGAGAAGTCCTTATATTATTTCTATGCATATCCTGCAATAAAACGAGAAAACAAAAGTTTATTAAAAATAGGCATACAGTAGAGCGTCGATTATCCGAATCAATTGGGGACTGCGTTGTTCGGAAGATCAATGTTTTCGGATAACCGATTATATACGAAAAAATATATTAATTTATTCCATCTTGACATTTATCTCCGTTGCGTGTCGTTTCGCGTTGAATTTTCGTCGATGTTAAGCCTAACGAAGACTATTGTATCGTTAAAAATTATTTTTTTTTATTTTGTACGAACAAAATAAATATATTAAAAAATATAAAAACAGTAAAAAAATATACTTCAGAAGTTAATTTACTATCAAAAACGTAAATTATTTGAGTAGCCCAAGACATAGCCAAAGATTGCAGCGCCACAGCGCTGGCAAAAATTTAAATTTCTAGACTGGAATTCTTTCGGATATTGACGTTTTCGATGATTGACTTTCGGATAATCGACGCTCTACTGTATTGTAATTCAATTAACAAAAAATAGGCACGTTACCCCAAGAAAAATGTGGCATCTTTTCTATTTGTTGGGGTAAGATGCGTAGTGGAGTCATGTATTTTAGCATGTCCTATCGGGATTGGCGGTAGCTGACAATGCAAACTTTAGAACCTTAACTACATCACACATTAATTGATTTTTACAATTTTTAATAAATTCTATTTTAACTTTCAGTTTAAATTTACTCTTTAAACATTTCACAACAAAAACTTCGTTCTTATCTAGCTTTTATTCTTCTCGGATGTAGAAAATGAAGTAACGGTAGCCAACTACAGCTTTCCTCACTCAATATTCGCCCAACGATTCATTATACAAACACATGACAATACGTGACGTCACCGTTCGAAAATATCAAAATTTAGGCATCTTCCCCCACTTACTATCTTACTTCGAATCACTCTATATGTTGCAGTCAAAACCCATTTTAATTTAGAACGCGTTTTAACTAGTTGAAACTAGTTTATACTGGATGTCTTTGTTAAAACCCGTTTTGTCTAGTTAAAACTAGAATTTACTTCTAGTCAAAAATGAATTTTTGTTAAAACTAGTTTTAACTAGACAAAACGGGTTTTAACAAAGACATCCAGTATAAACTAGTTTCAACTAGTTAAAACGCGTTCTAACTTAAAATGGGTTTTGACTGCAACATATTCACAGTAAGGGCGACTTTCGGAATTGATAAGATTATTAAGGCTTGTGTATCTGGTAGATTGGTACGTTGGAAAGAAAAATTAAAATTATTTGAGTCATTTATTCAATTAGTAGTGTTATATAGATCAGAAATCTGGAGAAATTGGAGAGATAGAGATGATAATATACAAGTTAATTTTGTTAAGCGTTTATACTCTCTAAACAGATGGATTCCATCGTATATTATATATTTGAAGTTTCAAAGAGTCCCCTTTCACTTTAACAAAATAAAAAGTAATTTAGGACGGTTACGCAAACAGTCGATTAGTAAACTTACAGAGTCCGCTAGATTATTTTTAGTTTCTCAAAGAGTAGCGTAAGGAGATCGAATTGCAGCTTTTTTGCAGAAGTTCGGCTATCGAAATGATCTGGTAATGTTAAATGAAATCGAGATCTCTGATATTTTAATGAGTTTGGCGAATAATTATATAATTGAGTTCAAATATAGATCGGTTAATTATAAATATAATAAATGGTACTTAGATGTTTTTAATGAATGGGGGTGGATGACCTATTTGAATATAGAAAGACCTTTTTGTATTACACAAGCAGTATTATATGTGCGATGTAATATAATGGGAAAAATGATAAGTCCGTGTATAGAGTACTGTGAATTTTGTAATGCTAATATTAATTTTGACGCTTTTCATGTAATAGCTGAATGTAAGGCACTGACAGGAGTCAGACAATGTTTTGGTGAAGATTGTTGTTGGGTCCAAGCATATAAACGGTTGTTACAGGACTGTAATAAATATTATTGTATTTATAGTTTTATAACTAAGTTAAATGGATTATTATTTGTTTGTTAAAATTAGAAGATCTTTTTTTTCCAGATGCTTTCCACCAGGAGGTATAAATTTACTATTTAAGTGGACAACTTAGTGTTGATAGTTGACAGCGTTTATGGTCGGCGATTTTGAGCTTAAAATAAATAATTGTTCAATTTTTTGCAGGTATTTGCTCAGTTTTTTTTCTTTTATTTTCTTTTGTATACGCCGATCATTCGCCGCCATTTTTCTTTTTCATGTTTTTTTCTTACAAGAATATACATATTATTGTTGTTATTTTAAATATTGAAAGTAACCTTGTGTTATCTAAATTTTTCCCTTTCAGACTAATTGTCAGGCGTTGTGTTGCTGTAATATTGTTATTTTTTTGTATTAATATTTATAAGTTTGTAATTTTGGTATAATAGCCCGTACATACAAGGTTTCCTTTGTACTATATAAATGAAATAAAATAAAAGAAAATAGAAGAGTTTTTTGAAAATGAATTTTCTTTAAATTCGGCTCGAGAAAACAAGTTTATATGTATAATATAATTTAACAAATTCTTGCAAAAAATTTTATAACATCTTAAACAAGGACAGCAATCTACTAAGAAAAATTCACTCAAATGAAAAAGATGCGAAAGAATAAGGAGTTTTTGGAAATTTACAATAGTATTTATATTTATTATATTTTTAAATTTTACATATGTTGAAATTATTAAAAATATAATACAGTACAATATATTTTTTGTGTTTTTTGATGATAAAATTTTGTTGCTCTAGAACAATTTTTTCAACAAGACAACCACTCCCCTTTCCGTCAATTTTGTTCGGATTTACCAATGTTAAAATCTGGTCATTTTAATATTCTGTGATAAATTGCAACACCTGACATGTACTTCTTCATACCTTTAAACTGGCAAGCCACGATTTTATAAATAAAGTACTTGGGTTTATAATATAAATAGAGTCGTCTTCAGAGTTAAAATCTGCAAGTTTTTTTCTGGTTCTTAAGTCTACAAAATCAGAAAAATTATGATTTACGCAATTTGCTGACCGAAGAAAGACAGAAAGAATAAAAACTTACCTCCGAATCAGAAATCTCGCCCGAAATGCAGCAACGTAACAAGAATTTATGGAATAAATGTCTGAAATATCCGACAGACCTTTCTCCTATTTTCGGGTTATTTGCTCGCAACTGCGACTCCCCTTTGTTCCAGGAGTCACATTTCGTCGCAGGCAAATCTTCGTCATTCTACGAAAGATAAAAATTAAAATTATCGATAATCTCATTAATGAATCATCTTCAATTTCTTAGAGAAAACTCAATCGTCTACCTGAATTGGGTAAACTTTGTTTTGCCGTACATTCTGTTTGGCAACTTTTCTCCTACAAGATAGAAATTCTGATTTAATGTTAACTAATCTTATAAATTAACATAATTATCTATTCAATTTACCTCTTCCTCTCCATCTTATCAGTCGAATTTCGCAAAATAACTTTCCGAGCGCACTCAATCATTCCAATCAACAATCGCAACGATTGGAAAACAATAAATCAGAAATTTTTGTTGAAAAATTCATTATAATGACTTCATAGGACTCTATATTAATATGAAATGCTTTTAGTATAAAGAATTTTAAACGTTAATCTGCGTTTTGTTTAAAAATTTTGAGGTAAAACGAATACGTGAATATGTCTCCCAGTAAAATAACTGCGGTTAAAATCGATACAAATACTTTAAAGTTGTTGTTACTGAAGTAGTACCTATAACTATTATCTTAGCAAATGTAAAAAAATGCAACAGTTTCTTGTAAAATAGTATTTTGAAACAAACATCAATCCTCGGTAAAGGATATGATGACTTTTGTATAGATCGACCGGTGCATAAAAGCTAATCACGTGACTCCTACTGTACATAAAAATATACATAAAATCTTTGGTATTTCTGCTGACATTTTTAGAACAAAGAGTACGGAACGAAGAGTAATAACTAAACATATCTTTTCTTTACCTGTCCACTGTACATCATATTTTTTACTTTGACAATAGCGTCGTTCGATGAATGACAATAGAGTAATACATGTTACACTTTCCATAGAAAGGTTTTGAAGTGAAATTATGTTACTTTCGGTTTGCATCTGTCGGTCTTGTATAGTTAATCAAGGTTTCGTGCTGCAATTCCTTCCAGGTGTGATCTTCGATTTTATTTCCCTAATTCCGTTCTCGAGATTAAGGAAAGATAGTCTGACAACCGACGACACTTATTTTTTTATATGTTTTTTCTTATCAGATAAGAAAAGAAATTATATATTGTAAATACTCATTCAAATTTACATTTAATGAAAATAACACAGAAGTCTTCGAGCAATGTATAATAATTATTTTTTGGCATTTTGTAGTTTAAGATCATAACGTTTTAAATATTAATACGCTAAATTACTAACTAAAAATTTAAATTAACGTTATAAACGAAAAGAAACAAATTCTATTTATGTATTAAGAATTTTTTTACATTTAATTAATGCAGTAGCGTTTAACAAGAAATAGTTTTTACTTGATGCAACTTCTGATGCAAACCGGAAGTGACGTTATTTCAATTGGAAAATTATCCCTGTGAAGAGTTAGATAGATGTCAGAATGACTGTTGCTAACAGGAAAAGTATGATGTAGAGACTAAGTCACTACTAACATCAAATGGAGAACGTATATTTTAAAATAAATAAATTTTAAATATATCGATCACTTCGTTAACTGATCTTACAAGCTGCAAGATAAACAGTAAAATTAATCAAGGAAGAAGTAATTATATGCTTAAATAAATAAATTTTAAATAAATCGATCACTTCGTTAACTGATCTTACAAGCTGCAAGATAAACAGTAAAATTAATCAAGGAAGAAGTAATTATATGCTTAACACGTGTTAGAATTTTGCTCTCTTACACGATTTCCTTACGTTAATTTCTCAAATAATCGTAATGGAAAATTCTTCTAAGTAATCGGAATTGATGATCGATTGAAAGTTGTACTTAAATTCAAAAACTTTCCTCGGAACAGAGTTACTAAGATGACCGGCATGACTCTGTTGTTATCAGGAAAAGTATGATGTACAGGGTAAGACTACTAATTTGAGATCGAGAGCATACATTTTAAAATAAATAAATTAAAAATATGATTAAAAATTATAAGAAGGGCGTTCTGGAAAACTGCCATTTTGAAAACCAAATTTCGCTATTGGCTTCATGNGCCTATATTATTTGCATTATTTTAATTATCAAACACAACTCATTATATATATACATAAAGAAATTTTATTTATACAGTAATAAATGATTTTGGAAAGTTTTATTTGAATTTCATGATACACAAAAATTTTAAAAAGAAATTAATAAATACTCATTCTTTATTCCTTGGAAATTTATATTACTGGTATTCTCAACAAATATTCTTCTTTTAACATCACTCCATTAAGTTCTTTTGGCTGAATAACCATATCCAAAACAAGTGTATTGTCTTTTCATACTTCTGCAATTATGTGAAAAACACAAGCAACAAGAATAATAATAAGTTCAGTTTTTAATACAGTTCGAAGATCAGATTACAGAGAAAAACATCTACTGTGTTTTATCTTACCTAACACAAATCCAACTATTTTTGGGCTTCTTACTGCAAGCCGTTTGAAACACAATAGCGCAAGTTATGAAGTTTTGTGTTTTCTTTACTCTATTCCCAATTTTAGAGCCACTGTGGAAAACTGATCATTAAACAATTAAACAGTGAAGAGTTAGATTTTATGGTAAAATACAAGATCAAAGCGTTTTAAAAAGCACAAATTAGCTCCAATACGCTGTTTTAGTGGAGGAGAAGAATCACAAAAAAAAGACGATGCTTCATCTGCCCTATGAAGAAGTCTCGAATGCAAAAAGTATGTTGATGTATACAACGACGCTGCATACAGTGAACATTCAGTAAAGATTTATATGCCGTACTGTACATGTAGAAACAAGTATAAATAAAATTTATTGGCATACGTAATTCAAAGAATTAATAAAAACAAATTCTCAATATAAATTTACAATTTTTAATGACTTTTTATTTTGTCTTTTTGCAATTTTGGTTTGAATTGGCGTTATTTTATTTGTAGAGCTTAATCTTCTCTCTTGGTTCTAAAATTATGTTGTTTTTACTTCTTAAATAGCTTTATGTTTGTCCACAGATAACTGATACTAAACCTGGTCGACTTTAAAAAGAAATGTAGACAGTACAGTGTTGATTATTTGAAATTTGGCTTCATTTTATTATTGTCGGACAAACGACTTCTTATGTGACTTTTATGCAACAAAGTTTTGAGCAATGCCCCTATAAAATCATTTAATCTTGAGAATCATCTGAGAATGTGTCACACTGATAAAACAAAGATTTGAAATACTTTCAAATACTTAAAGAAGAACTTCACAAGAGACTTACGATGGATAGATAGTATGTTCACTTTGATGTACAAAGAAACGATAATGGTTTGCGAGCGTCTTACAATATCTCGTTAGTTATAGCAAAATCTGGAAAACCGCACACTATCGGGAAAGAGTAAATTTTGTCAGGCATTGAAGAAATTTTAAGAACTGTTTTACACAAACTTGCATATGATATAATAAAAAAAATTCCTTTGAGCAACAACACCGTTCAAAGACGTATTGATGAAATGAGTTATGACATTGAATGCTTCTTGTGTAATTATACAACGACTATAACTGGACGAGTCAATTTTACCTGATAATGAAACCTTATTATGGTGTGTGTTCGTTTTGTTATGGACCAAGACATCCATGAAGAACTGCTCTTTGCGAGAACTTTGACAACAGACAATAAATGCGAATCAATATGTAATGTTTTGAGAGATTATTTCATGGAAAAAGCAAACCCTTTATCAAGAACGATATAAGCGGCAGCAGATGGAGCACCGACCATGTTTGGGCGCTATCGTTTATATATAAGCTATTTAAAACGAAATGTAACCGGAATGTTTGTAATACACCGTGTCATCCATCGACAACGTTTAGTTGCTAAAAATCTGATCAATCTCGTCAATTTGTCATTAACGCAGTACACAAAATTCGAAGTAGCGCGTTGAATACTAGGTTATTTGCGCAGCTGTATGAAGAAAATGACGAGAACTTTCTTGGATTGCTGCTTCGCACTGAAGTACGTTGTCTGTCAAAAGGCTTATGTTTGGCATGACTTTTTTTACTTTTTGAGACAGTTTTAGACTTTTGGGATGATAAACATCCAATTTAAAAAAAATTAATTAACTGAAAATCAGATATAGCTTATTTAACAGATTTGTTCACTAAATTTGATGAGGCTAACTTGCAGTTACAAGGTGACAGTCTAAATTTGATAAAAACACAGTCCATTATTTCAGCTTTTCATCCCGTGCTACGAACGTAATATTACGTTTCTCTTTATATGAAGTTATTTCTAGCTTTAATACGTAACATTATGTTTTAAGGAATTAAAATACGATTTCTATGTGTATTTTATTATGTCGGTTAATAAATAATGGGCACATTTTATTCATAAATTTGAAATATAACCGATTTTGTACAACCGTGACCATCGTCTGATTCGAAGTTTCGTTACCATATTTTGCAAGCAAATTTTGAATCGTTTTATTTTTTACATGTGAGTTAAGTTTAGATGTTTCGCATTAACGTACTAACTAATAATTGTTCGAATTCATTAATAAAAAGCCAGCAAATATAGACCCAATTATATTGATTCATCTGACGAAAATGTCGCGATTATGATTTAGGCCTAAGTGAGATCGAAAAAACAGAAATAAGCAACGTAATTTTGCTATTATTTTAAACTTGTATAGTTTATATGATATTATATAATTCATACACTTTTTAAATATTATCAATACAAAACTCGAGTTCCTAAATTTCTGTTAGAGCTAATGCCATCTTATGTGCTATATAATCAGTGCTCTATAATCAGTGCTATTTGTTTTTACATTAAAATTAACATTCAGTTTAAGAATATTCTGTCAATTATTTACTGCATACATTACATACATTTTTATTACTTATTTATTATTCAATGATATTTTACTTACACGAACTTTTACACAATCTTTTATTCATCTACTTACATTTTAACATGAACTTCAGTTTACATTAACGTTATATCAAACTTGCGTTTGAAACATTCATTGCCCATGATATTAACTTCACAAAGGTTCTTTACAGTATTTACCATTTGATATAACACATTATGTAGCGCTTATATTACCTGTTTTCCTTAAATACCTTTATTCTTTATCACTTAATATTATCTTAAGTGTTATATTTCATTTATGTTTTTATCTGTCTATAAATAAAGAAAGTATAATTAATATGTAAATGGACTACAAGAATAAAAATATTTCTAACTGTTTTCCGATTATATATTTATAATTCAACAATAATTATTTTATTGTGATGAAATTAAATGTGTGAAAGATATCGAGAATATTTGATAGTCATTTTAACTATTGTCTATTAATTATAAACGTTGTTGACCTAATTAAAGGGTCAATGTTTCTGTTTATGTATTGAACTTTAAAAAATTGCTAACTGAACAGGAACAATTTTAAAAATCCGAAAAAAGTTATTGGTGTAATAATACATGATACAACAATAGAAAATGAAAAGAGAAAAATTGCATAATTGATTACTAGTTGGTTAATAAGTGCATATTTACTTTTTTATTAATTTAGTAATTGTATGATAAAATGGCTAGAAGTGTAATATACAATATAACAAGGTATTATAAATAGCATGTATAGATTAAAAGGAACCACATAAAAGATACGTAGATTGAACACATTTGATATATTCAAAAATGTTTAAATGAAAATATTGATCTATAGGCATTCCAACTACCTTACCATATTAGAAAACATATAGAAAATCGTGACATAATATTATAAAAATTGTAGATATAAAAACAAAAATAATGTGTAAAAAATAAGAAATGAAGAAACCAGTAAATTTATTAAATAAACATTAAAATAAAAATAATAATGATACTGCTATAGACTATAACAACGGATATACATATGATTAATATTACAATAAAAATTTATGAAATTCTTATATAAGTTTACTCCAGTTTCATTTTAACAAAAAGTTAACTTTATCTTTTCGAAAATAACGTAGATGAGAGAAAGGACAACAGGAATAAAAAATATTGCATGAAAAGCTGTCTCTATAGAAACAAGAATTACAATTTTCGCAAATGTGGTAAGAAAATACACATCAGAATATAAAATCAATATTCCTAATCCCGTGGTCAATGATCCCTGAAGTATGGGAAAGCCTATACGATACAGAGAATCTTTTAATTTTTCGTTTGGTGTCTTGTTTCGTGACATGACATAAGCATACGAAATATGAGCCGGATAATTCACGCTGAATCCCACACACAGAATTAGACTCATCGTTGATATAATATCGAGATTGACGCCCCATAAGGACATATAACCTAAGGTTTCTACCATTGAAGAAACAACTGAAATCGCAACAAGAATTGCGACTAATAAATTCGGTACGAACAATAGAAAAACTCCTGTTATTAGAACAGCAGTGATCCAAAACAATTGGTGAATCATTTGACCAATAATAATCCCTTGTTCAATTAGACCTGATTTTAAACAATGCACCAGCACAGGAGTTTCGGATTCGTCAGCAATTTTTAATAAATCTCTTAATGTGTCTCTTTCTGTCTGCGATGAATTTAAATCTTTTCCCATAATAAAAAATCTACTGTATATGATGTCAGTATTGTTGCTATTAAAGACAACGTCATTAGACAGTGACTGGGCAGCTCTAATGTGAAAAAATACATTGTGAAGACCATCAATAAAGTCTTGCTTATTTGACATATTGTAACCCTGCAATGAGAATTTTGCTACGGGACTTTTTTGAAATTCTTTGTAGAATTTCAACCATGATACAGTAAATTCTCCCTTAGCAACATTTGGATGTTTTTCTAATTTATTCAACAGATTTTCTATCGATATTTGTACCTTTATATCTGAGTAATCTAATGTTTTATTAATAATTATCTGAAAAGGAAAAGCATAACTCGTAAAATATTTGTAATGTATTCTAAAGCCTTGTGCAATTAGGGAATTTTCTGGAAATAAATTTTCATATTTTATACCATGCTGAATGTAAAAGATTTCTCGAATTCCAAGTGATAAATTAATAATATAAACTATAATAACAACTATCTTCACCAAATTATTTGAAAGTACGTTTCCTAATAAATCTCTGAAAACTGCCATAGTAAATTCTTCTTCTTCGGTGTTATCATCTTCTTCACGATATTCATCACTTTGTTCTGAAATAAAAAGATTTAGAATTTTTATGAAAAAGCATACAGGAAAATCAAACATTTTAAGTTAAATTTTTGTACAATTTTTTTTTTCATTTCTAACAGGTAATTAATTAAAGGAGATAAGATTGAAACTTATACTATGGGACTTTGGTATGTTGATGATGCTGATTCGTTTTGAATTTATGGTAGAATGTAGCAAAAAATTTCTGTGTTATACTTCTCTTTATATTGCATATAAATAACAAGGAAAACTTATAGGAATCATGTTAAGTTTGACTGTCCATGTTTTTCTCAAATCTACACATTTTGAGACCTCCTGAACTGAAAATAGTAAACCAAAAAAAAAATTCTGTATATGTGTATGTATGTGTGTAGATGTGTTGGCGTGTATTTTTTATATCGTGGGATGGATGAAAATTAAGAAAGGAAATTTAGAGCAAAACCTTTTATGTATGGCGCGTTGCTGCTGTTAAATTTTAATGAATAAAAAATCAAGGTGGTGGAAAGATAGTGACATGTCAGTCATGATATCTTGAGACAATAAAGATTTTACTCTTTATTAACATTTAGAGTTTTATATAAAACTTATCTTTACGTTTAAAATAATTTTCTGCTATTTCATAATAATTTGTAAAATAAAAAAATTTTATTAATAAAGTTATATAAAGGATGGTGCCAAACACCATTTCTTATAAGACTTTATTAATAAAACTAAATTTTATTTATTACGATTACAAATACAGCAGTTATATTTTTAATAAAATATCGTACCATCTGGGAAAGTTACACAACCCTTTGCTGGAATTTTTCTGTATACTACTGGAAACAGACTGCGCTATATATGTATAAAAAGCAAGTTATTAACATTGAAAAATTTACGCATCAGTTTATTATGCTGCCGTTAGCAAGACTGTAGAGACTACATACAATTTTTTTGCATTTATTTAAGTCACGATTAAAAATACTTACAAGGAAATTTTCACAGGTTATTCCTCAGTTACGAAATTACACTCAATGGTGATAATTGCAACAGACATAATTGGAAATTTGTTGTCAAGTTGCAATATCTCATGCACTTTCAATTATCTGTCGACATTTTTGAAACCTATTATTCGTTAGTCCTGGTATTCTTCTCTCTGCACTTCTGAATGTTAGTGAAAAATTTCCCAGTGCCGAGGAAGGGTGCCTTACATTTACAGGGAGTGACAGTCTTGTCTGTGTTGCTGCAGATTGTGATAAAACTACATTTATGAACTCTGTCATATTACAAGTGCTTTTATGTATAACATTCATATATTGAAAACCACCATCATTTCGTCACGTTTTTTTTCATAAGTAAAAATTATTAACTTTAATGTAAATGTTTATAAGTTTAATTAAAATATTGATGTAAGTGATATAATTATTTATTCAATGTGACTATGATGTAAACTATCTGACACTTAAAAATTTAACCACAGTTGGTATTAAACTCCGCTTTAGCCAAGAAACAATCGTTTCAGTTTTTTAAGAAGTGGTATAATAGCGAGGTTGAGGCCGAAGTTTTAAACGCAAAAACGTGTACCTCGGACGTTCAGCGCCGCTTTCCTGTAAGCCTAGAAGTTTGACAATGGTGTTTGGATAGTCAGTGAAATCATGCTCGACATTCCAAACACCATTGTCAAACTTCTAGGCTTACAGGAAAGCGGCGCTGAACGTCCGACGTACACGTTTTCGCGTTTAAATTTTCGGCCTCAATCCTCGCTAATAGCATAGCGTGGATAATATACATGCTATCGACCTTGTCTTGCCTACTTTCTATTCTTGAGTAAACCAGCGCCCATGTGGCCGAACAACTCTGCTAATTGTCTGCAATAAAATGTAGTTCTATAGTCATAACTTCTTCATTATGGCCCTAAAGTGAAACAGTTTGAAAGATTATATCATCACTGAGACACTACCTATGTGCAAAATTCATCACAGTTGCTGAGGGACATAGATGTTGTTCTCCTCGTAAGTGGAATGAGAGGCAGTTAGAAACAGCAGTAGTAATAATTTACTAAGATCATTGAATTGAAAAAAAAACATACGAAAAAAATCACGATCAAGGAAAAATCGTTCAATCTGAAAGTGAATATATTACAACAGCGAGAGGAAAAAAAAATAGATAACAAGTAAAAATCTTGTTAAGTGCGAAAACGTGTACAAATTGTTTGTGTTTATACTCATTCTGTTACTGGATTCTACTTGAATAAGATTTTATCTATTTGCTGGCTTTTGTCTTACTATAACGAGTTCATTGGTAACGTGTCACATTGATCAATAATAAAAACTTTTTGTAAAGAACCTGTCTTTTACGAAAACTAATGATTTTATTCAATCGAGTTTACATTACTTAAAATACAAAATATTAAATAAAATGAATTTGTATAAAAAACAATTACAAGATTGAAAATTCGACTAACAGACATTATTCCTACAACCTAAAATAGCAAAACTATTTTTCAAAACATGGTCTTATATACTAAACATCGAATCATTAAATTTCAAAATCATAATCTTTGGTTGTAAATAAATTTCAACTTACCACTAACAAATTTTGCAGAACGAAAATCCTTTTCTTCTCTGTATCCACTCAATGCCAAACATCCTCCAAAAAAAGTTATCTGATATAGGAAATTGAACATTATGCAAGTTGCAGTATAATAACTGAATATCCGAATAAAAGGAAATGGAGCCATCATCCCGATGCAATAAGAAAGAAAATTAGTCAGTGATGTGAGTGTGATGGAAACTCCTGCTTCTCCATATGTTGCCTCCATGCGTTTCTCAACTGAATGTTTAGGATTAGAGATCCTCCAACATGATACTAATACGAAAGCATCGTCTATTTCGGTCACTGAAATACATATAAAATTAATAAATATTAGCACTCCCAGTACCATAAGTTCGCGGACAACAGCAATTCACTTACCAAGAACTAAAAAAGGGATCGTAGTATTCCAGTGAGTATTTTCTACACCCGATGCAGCCATTAATCCAAAAGACGTTACAACAGCCAAACCAGCATTGATTACACTTGCTAATCCAAGAAGAGGTTTGCTTCTACCCCAGCTATTGCTCATATTAAGAAATATCGAAAGTACAATCATTATCGCAACCAAACATCCTATTTTGGGTTTCGTTTCATTAAACTCTTTTTGAAATCCTTGTTCTACTTCCAACACGGAATTTGGCAAAACCCTAATATGTGTAAAATTATATTTTTGAATCATTTCGTAAACATGAGCCGACCATTTTAGGAAAAGCGTGTTTTTTACTTCATTTTTTTCATCAGTGGTGTAAAGTAGCCTAATGACATTTACTTTTTCGACAAAGTTAAGATTATCTTCAGTAACACCTCCTAAATTTACAAAATAGGCTTTATAAGTGAAAGACAACAAATCTATATCCATTGGATACTTCAGCTTCTTTCTCTTTTGTAGTATGGAATCTATTCCCACTTCTGATATCACTTCAATAATAGGATTTTCGGAGCATTTTTTGTGCATAAGTACGCAAAAATCGTGATATTGTATTAATTTATCATCAGTTTCTAATGTCATGTTTTGTATAATATCATCGAGCAATTTCACTTCTAAAAGAATATTTTTTTGAAACGTGTTTCCTCCATCATGTTTTAACACATATAATGACAGAACATTCGGAAAATCAGGCGTTCTTATTTGATCAGAAAATTGAGAAGAATTAAAAGAAAAAGTATTGTGTATAAATTTTTTAATGTTATGAAGTTCTCCTGTATCTGCAGATTTGAGGATATCGTTAAATACCTTATTTGTTGTTAATGATCCGATAAATATGCAAAATGTAATAGAGAGAATTAAAGGTAGAAGAATAAAGTAATATGGATACCGTCCAACTGTTCTTCCTAATTTCTTGAAAATACCACAGAGAATTTTTCTTAAGCAGTCGAGTTTCATTATTTAGTTCAAACGTGGTTTCGAATTATGATTAGAGTGGTTATCTGAAAAAATACAGACAAGTATATTTAACGGTTTTAATTAAATACGTTTAAATGTTAAAATGTAGTTAAAAGTTTATCTTACAATAATATACTACAGTATTTATAAATTTTTTGATTCTTTGTAGAAAATTAAACCGTTTCAGCCTATTGACAAAATAGGTCTTCTATACAATTTTTAGAAATAAGAAGAGATGCAAAATGTTTCCGAATCAAATAACTTGAAAAGTCAGAAGTTAAAGTTTATAGAAACATTCATTTTGTGTTTACTTTCGTTTATATGTCCAATTCTTCTTTAAGGTACTAAAGTTAAAATCTATTTTTTGACCTCAGTAAAAATTTATTGTTAATAAACATTATAATAATGCTGAGTAGAAAATTTTTTAAAAAAAAACGAAAGTTCTAAAAGAATGGCAATACAAAATAAGGGGGAGGGTCCCAAACAATGAGAAAAACAACTACAAGATGACTTCAACTGCATCTAGTATATATCAATATCATTACATGAGAGAGTTTCAACGTACTCTTTCACAGCATCAAAAGTGACATTTCCAAGTTATTTTGCTGCTCTAATATACCATGGAACGGCTGATTTCGGTAGTCGTCAGCTGTTACTCCAACTGTATTGTCATGTAATTGGTTGATCCAACACAAACTAAAAGTTATTTCACCACCTACAGTTACGCTTTTCGAAGACGAACCATCTGTGATTCAGAACGTTTTTAAACGATTCTAACTGAGGCAATTTCCTCTTAGTCAACGAGCATCAGATTACCTTCTGGACTCCATAAACACTAGATTTTTATTAACTCGCGATCAATTGTAAACTCTCTCTCTCTCTCTCTCTCCCTCTCTCTCAATCGCTTAATTTAAATATTGAAGTGGCTCTATCATTTCGAAAAAAGTATAACCTATACTGCATTATCTACATTAACTTACATTTATTTTATTTTTTTTTGTGTTGTTTTCATAAAATTATTAATATACGATATCATAACAAATGAATAGACAATTCTCTTGTATTGCGTGGTAATGTGTTTATTATTTGTTTATTGATATTATTATTTTACAGTGCTTCTACTATTTCGTATCATACTGTGCTTATGATTTGGCGAGATGATATCTTGATAAAAACTCAATATTTTAAAACACCCTCACATCTCTGCCTGCGGCTACATATGTGGGTATTTCAACCGGTTTCTAAAGTTAATAGGCTGAAGGTCTTACATGTAGGCGTTTTAAACGTATTTGACATTTTTCTCGGTAATTACGTTGGAAAAGCAGGAACTCTCTAGAACCTGCGAGTTTTAAACTGCTTTACACAAATCTTAAAAGCTTATAACCACATTCATGTTTTAGTTTAAAACGTAGCAGTAAAAGCAATACCGGGGAATTCAGATCAGTTATAACAGAAAATACCTGTATAAATGTTCAGAAATCAAACGTAATTTTTGTTGTATTAAAACGCTTCTTTTAACATGATATTCCATAACAAACAACCTCACATACAATTGATAATCATCAAAAATTACTAAATTTCTGAGTCGTTATCATCATTTGTTTTGGATACTTAACATATTCGTTGCAATGAAAGGTATATTAAAAATAAGATTTACATATGTTGTTAATGTATAATAATATAGATAAAATAGAATAAAAATATTTACACAAATTGATACAAAAAGAGAGTTATTGAAAATAAATAATTTGGAACATATTATTATCGTTAATTTTCTTTTTTATTAATTCAGATTAGAATTATCCTAATTCATAAATTATTGCATTAAATCTTTATTCTTGAGCATTTAATAGTAATTTATAACAAACTGACAACGGCATCAGTTTAACAGAACTAATAGCCCTAACTCACTAAACCATTCTCGCAGAATTTCGCGTAAACAGCAACTAATAAAAAAGAGCGAAACACGCTTTCTTTTTTCTCCGCCACCACTTTCGAGGTTTCTCCTTTAATTACTTCTCCCAAATAATGAAAACTGCGTATAATTAATAAAAACTTTTTTTTATTTAACAGAAAAGCACGCTACTGCAAAAACGCATTACTACCTTAAGCATAAAGTTATTACAGAGTTATCGTACGTATGTATCATGAATTTTTCAAGTAACCTAGCTAACGTATTATTTGCCGTATACCACAATTGCGCCCCATGACATAGAAAAAATTTTTTGCAAGGTTTTCACCGGAAAATTACAACAGCACATACAGAACACTCTTAAGTTTTGCCAGCTAAATAGAAAAACTTAATGACACCCGGCAACTATTTTCCTATATGCAGTACTTTCCGTACAATATGCACTGTAAATTATTACCATACATGATATAAATATTAAATTTAAAAGGTAACAAATAAGAGGTTTATCTTATACTAGAAATTATATTGCAAGATTGATTTAAGAATACTTTATGAGTGTTTCTATATTTGTCATCTATTTTAAAATATATTACTCGGAAAATCTAATATCATTTTGAATAGACTTGTTCAGAATTTCGAAAATATTATTTACATTTTTAATATTTCTTACTCAGAAGATTCTTTTCATTGTATGATTTAATTAGAAAAAAATAATATTTTGTATTAAAATTTTTCAAAATAACTAGAAAATCAAAACAACTCTATTATCCATATTATCGAGTTCTAATAAATTAAAACAGAAAAGAATTAAAAACTAAAGGATGAAAAATATTTTAATTAATATTATATTTACTTACGTTTCTGGTTATGGTTACTGACAATACGTAGTTGAAGGTAATGTATCACGATTCAATAGCAACTATTCGCAGCTACTATTGGCAGGAGATATGTAATCTGAAAAATTATATTTTATTTACGTTTCTAGGAAAATAATTTTCCGTATTTGCCAGCGTTACGTGTATTCTGTTGTCATAATTATTTATTATTAAAGTAACTTTAATAGTAAATTCATGACGAGATTTCGTCATGAATTTGTCTCTCACAAATAATTACTCATAACATTAGTCGTTATTTGTTTAAAAAGAATTCATAATTAAATGTTTGATTAATTTAAAATTTATTAATTTTTCATTACAACGTGAAATTTTTAATGTAATTTTTTTTTAAATTAAAATATGTTAAATTATTATAAATTATATGTAAATATAACTCAGAAATATATAGAAAAATTTTAAAATTTATTTTTTAAAAAATCAGAAATTTTATAGCTTAATTTTTTTATATTCGCAGAAATTCAATCACGCAATGCGAAATCGTTTTCAGCTTACTTTATTATCATCACTACAAATCAATTGTTTTTTTTTTTCAAATTATGTTACATTGTTTTATTTCAAAATAAAAATATTATTAACAAAATAAAAATAAAAAATAAAATAAATAATTTGTTAATTTTTTTATTTTAATTGATAATTTTTAACGTGTCGTTATAAATTCGAAATTATTATTTAAATTATTTTTAACAACGTTTTCAATCAATCAATCAATCAAGTAAATATTTTTGTATTAAGTAATACCTGTTACATTGGGGTGTACAATATTCATGTAAACACCTTGATATTACAATTGTTTTTACAATTTTGAAGTTACATTAATCCGTACGTAGCACAATAAAGATTAATTTCAATTAGTTAACTGTTGTCATTTTTACTGTTCTTGACAATGGTAATTTAAATTTACATGCAATTTAATTACAGTAATTTAATAAGTTTTTGAAAATAATTATACAAATTGTATATAGTTTTTTTCTTTGCCCTGTGTAAAAAAAAATATACATACTTTTTTCCTGTTACTGGGAACTAAGTATATAAGTACTCATTTCATTTCTATGCATAAATGGATCAATAGAAAAGCTATATATATTTAAAAGATATTATACTTGACCTACCCAATTATTTGCATGAACACCAATGCACATTTTTAGTATAATATTTTTAATAAGTTTGATGGTGACATCTCGCAATCACTTATCTTTATGCAAAATTAATGTGCTTTTATTAAAAAAAAAATTGACACAATTTGAATCTACTTAACTCTAGTTTTGAGTTTTAAAATAATTAATAGATTGGAGACAACGTTAAAAATATTTTCCTAAATGATTTGCTGTTTGATAAATTGTATTTTATTATTTTACACAATAAAAAAATACTATTTAGAAAATAGCTTCTTGTTTCACTGAAGGTCTTTAACGTAAGTCTAAAACTGGTTTCGCATAGGGTGGCATTTAAAATTTGGAATTTAAACAAGCAAAGCACGTGACATTATAACACATGATACTGGACAAAAGTTATAGAAAATATTTCACTTTATTATCAGATTTAGTTTTCGTTTGATCATAAAAAATTTTTACAAGTATTATAAACAAAACTTGCTACTCATAATAATTATTGTCGTGCTGCATGAAGAATACCGCAAGTCTTAATTTAGGCAATGCAATACGAAGACGAAAAGGATACTTTTTAAACATGAATAATCGAAATTGTTCTGCTATGAAACATTTCAATTAATACAACATTCACATATCAAAAAATGTATTTCTGTATATCTTAATATAATAGTAAATACAGAGGCAAAGTATGCAGCTTTCATGTATACA